TTCCTTCCTTCCTTCCTTCCTTCCTTCCTTCCTTCCTTCCTTCCTTCTTATTATTATCTATCTATCTATCTATCTATCTACCTACCTATCTATCTATTGAGAGAGAACATGCACACACACACATGGGGCAGGGGCAGAAGGAGAGGGAAAGAGAGAATCCCAAGCAGGCTCCACACCTAGATGGGCTTGATCCATGAGATCATGCATGACCTGAACCAAAATCAAGAGTTGGACGCTTAACCAACTAAGCCACCTCGTTCCCCGACAATTATATTTTAATCTTTTAAGAAACCACATAATTCAAAAAGTAACTCAGACTTCAGTAATGCTTTTTATATGAATTTTCATGTATCCCCAGAGTATCTCCATACATACGAAGCCTAGAACATCACATCACATGTATTAAGACATGCATTGTCTACTGGTTTGCCTAGGTGAAGGGACTCTTTCCATAATGTTGAGATTCTTCAAAGTGTTCTTGGCTTTCAAGATGGGATGACAGCCATGTGGAATGCTTTATGAATAAGCTTGGGGGAGGTTATCATGTGATAGGATTTCAACATAAAAAAGATCATTGTCATAAATGAGTGATGTCACCATGCAACATCAAACCACTCTGCCACATTCTTCTTCCCACAAAGGTGGTGTTTGATTCAGGGACAGCAAAAACTCAAAACTCAGGTTCTAGAGCTCACTGAGGAAACAACCATCTGAATTCGTGGGTTCTGAATTTAGAATCTTCAAATTCCATAAATATAATCTGTATTTATAGATTCTAGAAATACTATAATACAATCTTCAAGTCCTATAAATATAACCTGTATCAATTTAATATAAAATAACTTAATTTTACATATTAAAATTCTATAAAAATCATCTTAAAATTATTGTTCTCAAGTATCTATTCTATTTGAATTTCTGGCAAACTTTGTATTTTTAGGAAGAAATGTTAAAGAACATCAAGATTAATTAGTATCATTAGCACATAAGTATCCCAAGATCCTTATAAATTGCTTGTAAGTGGGTCAAAGGTACTTCATGACAATGATATTTACAACACTTTCTTCTCAGTGAGTGAAAAAGTCATCTCCTGCATTATCCCATCTCCCCAGTGAATGCACTTTGGATTAATGAGTTTTTATTATATTGAAAAGAACACCAGAAACATATAAAGAATAATTGGTTACAGACTATCTGTTCCATGGGGAGCTGTAGTAAGGGTGAGTGAATAAAAAAGGAAGAAAAACATAAAAAGAGTAAATATCACAAAGAATGGCCATTGGCTAGTTTCCAGGTGGGGCTTTGATGGAAAACCTCATTACAAAGGTACCGAGTGTAGCATGAAGATAGGACAAATTTTGCTGACATCCCGGTAGGCTCAGCAAAGAGGAAGCGAGAGACTGCCTTACTTGTCTTTAAGGTTTCACTTGAGAGTAGGGTTAATTCTGGGGCAGAAGAGTCAGCTGACAGGGAAGGCAGGTTATTGAAGGGATTTTGTAGACATGATGAGAAATGGAAGAGATGGAGGTTTGGTTAGCGTTGGGGACGTCAGGAATGACAAAGAAGAGCCTTGTACATCATTCTGAATCCTCGCTAGACAGTGTTGGTCGATAACACCACTCTGTCCTGAGGAGTCTGAACAGCCATTCCCGATTCTGCCTTTCCTAGTGCAGCATTTCAAGCAATGATAGCAAATGAATCAGAACTGAAATGCTAGTGGAAGTCATTGTTTAGAAAAGGGGAGAAAGTCCCCCCAAGCTGGAGCTGTCATCACACAGGAAGGTTTGTGATACGGTCAAATGGATCATCAAGCAGGAAAAGAAGAGAAGCTAGAAGGAGGCTCTAGAAGAACTGGTGTGACCAAGAAGTCATAAATAGACTCCACATAAAGAGGAGCACTGTGTACCAAGTACGAGCTGGGCGTGGAACTGGCCCCAGGGCTCACATCCTGCATCCCTCCCGCCGAAGCACACGACAAAGTAGGCACGGGAGACGTGGGTGCAACCAGCAGGATGGTCTCTGCCAGGGATGCTGTGCCAGCCCAGAGAAGAAATAAGAACTGTGAAGGTAGGGGCACCCGGGTGGCTCAGTCGGTGAAGCGTCTGACTCTTGATTTCGGCTCAGGTCATGGTCTCACAGTTCATGGGACTGAGCCCCACCTCAGGCTCTGCGCTGACAGTACGAAGCCTGCTTGGGATTTCCCCTCTCTCCCTCTCTCTCTCTCTGACCCTCCCCTGCGAGTGCTCTCTGTCAACATAAAAAAAATAAACTTAAAAAAAAAATCTGTAAAAGGGGCATCTGGGTGGCTCAGTTGGTTGAGCAGACCTCTGACTTGGGCTTAGGTCACGATCTCACATTTGTGGGTTTGAGCCCCACGTTGGGCTCAGAACCTGGAACCTACTTTGGATTCTGTGTCTCGCCCTCTCTCTGCCCCTCCCCTGCTCGTGCTCTGTCTCTCTCTGTGTCTCAAAAAATAAGGTAAAACATTTTTAAAAATCTGCAAAAAAAAGAACCTGTGAAGGCAGAGGGGAATCAGAAATGCAGGAAAGCATTATCTGTGCAGATAGAGTGTTTGGTCATTTCTGAGAAGGTCCACTAGACTCAAGTAGAACACTTACCCATCTGTTGCACAGCCTTCAAGACCTGGCCCAGAACAGCTGTGGGTATTGAGGGAGAAATACACATTTTGATCATAAGTCAACGTGCTTTAAATTACTCTCAAATCATTAAAATCACCATGAATCTCAATTTGGGGGGGCAGCAGTTAATTATTTATTTATTTTGCATTTATTCATTCGTTCATTCACTCGGCATGTATTTTTGAATGTTGCACTCTGTGACACGGATTGTTCTAGCATTTAGCAGAGTGGACATTTTCTGGCCTCTGTTACTGAAATGCGTTCATGCGTACTTTATGATATAGGTATAGCTGTCTCATATCTGGCTCTAGGATGTCAGTACAGGCAGGGGAGGAGAGGCGGCCAAGACTAGAGCCATACTGATTAAGGGGTAGGAGGAGAGGAACCGATGTGTGAGGATGAGTCTCAGGGGCAGGGCAACGGCAGTGATGACTTCAGACCCTGGAATCCAGGGGCAGTACGGGAGCTGGTTTCCTCTCCTCCCACAGGACTGAAACGTCTTACATACAGCAGAGACGGCATTGGTCTTAAATGACTCTTGAGAAGCTGGGTCCCCGTTCTAGTGAGGGAGGCCACCGTCCCTTATTTTGATTACAGAATGATATAAAAAGGCAGAATACATTGGCTTTGAAGTATGGCAACACTTGCCAAGACAAACATCAGTAGGAAAACAGAATATTCCAATTAAATGCAAAAGACAACTCATGCTGTTGCACATGGATGGACCTAGAGAGAATTATGCTAACTGAAACAAGTCAGACGGAAGAAGACAAATCCCGTAAGATTTCATCTATATAATGGAGCCTAAAAAAATAAAACAAACGAACAAACAAACAACAGCAACAGACTCATAAATACAGAGAACAAATCGGTGGTTGCCACAGAGAAACAGGGGGGATGACTAAAATGGGTGAAGGGGTTAAGGGGTATGAGCTTCTAGTTATAAAATAAATAAGACATGGGGATGAGAAGTGCAGAACAGAAAATACAGTCCATAATGTAATAATTTTGTCTGGGGACAGATGGTGACTATACATATTGTGAGGAGCACTGCATAATGTATAGAATTGTCAAATTGTTCTGTTGTACACCTGAAACGAATAGAACATTGTGTGTAAGCTCTATATCAATTTAAAAAAGGAGATGGGGGACACTACCATTTCATGGCCTGGGGAAGGATGAAGGACTACATTTCAAGTATGTGACCAGGCCAGAGGTGCCTGTCAAACACCCCATTTCCTACCTCAGTCAAGGGCTGGGATTTGTACACTCCTCCCGGAGGGTAGGGTCTGTTCCCTCCCCCATTTTCAAGCAGCCCTGCTCCTTTCTCCCCAGTGCCTTTGGGCCTTCCTTCCTACATCACACACACACACACACACACACACACACACACACACACACACAGGCTTTTTCAGGAAGTGGATGCATGGGAGGCCTCCCTATTTCACACTCTATTATCTCCTAGGGAAACCAAAACTCAAAGACAAAAGGCATCACTAATGAGTGACCACTGATAAACTCCCCGCTCACTAGCTTTTTCTCCCCCACAATGCCCCGCAGTCTCCAAGAGGGAATACTACACAAAGTGAGTGCAAATTGAAATTGTCCATTTTGGGACCACACACGGGTTTTTTTTGTTGCTTTTTTGGTTTTTGTTTTTTTGGTTTTTTTTGGCAGCCTCTGAAGGTGCTGCGGGGGGAAACAGCAGGGGTTACTAGGGAGAAGCTACTGATGCAGAAGTAGCTCAGGGGGGAAGAAAAGCCAGTTTACATCTGAAGAGGTGACTTGACAAGGACAGTGACAGGACAGGCGCTAGAAGAGTCTTGATTTGAGTACCCAGCTCGAGCTCCTTGGGAAAGCTGATAACACCTTTGCATAATTTTGCAGAAACAATTGTTGAATATGAAGTAAAAGAGCCCATATCACGCTATCATTTAACGTCGTCAGAAAACTGATTCTCTGTCCTCTACTTGACTTCTTCTTTTTTGGTTACGTACAATGAAAACAGGAAACATTCTGCCCGGCGTCGTCTGCACCACAGTCAGGCTGTCACTCACCCGTAGGTACAGTTTGAATGGCACAGGTGACACATGCGATTGGCGTCTGCAAACTTCCAGACCAGGGTGTTGTTTTCTCCCATGATGCCAGCCGGGCAGGTCTTGACGCAGTGAGGGCCGTCAATGTAGTGTGCACACTGCACGCAGCTGTCTGGTCCCTACACCAAGACGGACAGAGACATGTATATAGGCTTCTTTCTCTTTCGAAACTGAAGTAACTTTTTACTTATAATACTTTGTGTGAAAAAGAAGTCAAACAACAGACGTTCTTAAAGCAGAAACACAACAAGCTTGTCTGTGACTGTGAACCACCGTTCACAGCCTACTGAGAAGTCTTCGAATGCATTGACGATATAACAACGGAAAAGAAACTATACTGTATGCTTCGTGACAGTTTACTTAACAGACTGTGGGCAAGTTTCTTTGTCAAAACAATCTTGATGAGTCTACGTGTACATTTACACCTCTATCGCTCAGATGGCATTGTTTGCATATCATATCTGAACTTAAAGAGCAGCTATGTGGGAAGCCAGACTTGCTGAGGCGAACTGAAGAAAGCCCACATTTATGTTTCTCCAGGGACAAGAAGGCAGTAAGTGGAAGTAAGCGGTGGGGGCATAATTAACTGTATACCGTGTTTATTTGATTCCGTTTGCTAAACTCCGAAAAACTCACAGAAGTGAAACTTGACTGTTTGGGTTGTGCCCTACATCAAGGGAGTGAAATAAAGCTGGTAGGGAAGGATGTGCTCACTGGTGAAGTTCTCTGATGTCTCCGTTTTGTCCAAAGACTGAGCGTTCCCAGAACCAGAACGGTCAGATGACTAAGTCAGAATCACCAACAGACTTATTTCAATGATGAAAATTTAACCTAACACCAGGTAAACTTATAAACCAATGGTTTACTTTGTAAACTGCCCTGTTAGCAGCCTACACCTCAAAACACAGCCTTCAGCCCGATTTAGAGACAGCTTTTGAAAAATGTGTTCAATTAGAAGGTTTAGATATGGCTGTTGAAGCTCAAATACAAACAGAACTCCTTATAAATAATATTGAGAATGAACAACATTGGGACATTGATGTGAGGAGGACCTGAATTCTCACGTATACTCTTTATGTAAATAGAAACCTGAATTTTGAAAAGTTTTGCTAGGTGTTTCTTTAAAAAAATTTTTTTTAACGTTCATTCATTCTTGAGAGACACAGAGACAGAGCATGAGTGGGGGAGGGGCAGAGAGAGAGAGAGGGAGACACAGAATCCGAAGCAGGCTCCAGGCTCTGAGACATCAGCACAGAGCCCAGTGCGGGACTCGAACCCACGAACCGTGAGATCATGACGTGAGCCCAAAGTCAGAGACTTAACCGACTGAGCCACCCAGGTGCTCCGCTAGGTGTTTCTTTAAGAACTCTTCAAATAATTATGAACGAATGTTAAATAAGAATCTGATGATGTTTGATTAAGATGGCGAAGCAATGATGACAGATGTCAGAAACAGTGAACACTGGCTGTCGATGTCCCCAGCCTCCCACAGGCATCCCTGGTTTTTGGTAAAAGAGTAGATGTTATTAGATTTGTTGGAGGGTGTTGGACAGAAAGGGTGAATGCTCCTACAAGGTGGGTTGCGTGATGACGTCAACTCAACCACAGCCTCTGTGACCCAGCTGGGAGGTCACAAGGCCCCCTGTATGGGCATGGCTGCCTCTTTGGTAGCTGCAGAGTGATGCTGGCTCATTGCTGTGGTTCTGCTGCTTGGGAAGGCTTTTCCCTTGGACGTATGAGTGAATAACATCAAACGTGCTCCTTACTCGTCCTGTGCAGGTGATATTCATGGCCTGGGGCAGGCATTCTGGATGGCACTGTATGCACTCGGAATTCTCCACAAACTCCCTTGGCTCCCTGAGAGAAGAAAGAAAACCAATCAGTGCTATTTCTAGAGATCCTGATTCAAAATGCCGGCAGGTTACCACTGTCTGAGTTGCAATTGTCTGAAATTTCAGGTGACACAGAACACCTTTCTCAGAAATGCGAGAAAAATTTAGGTAAACATTTAACGGTAGGGAATCTAGGATTATATTGCAATATGATAAACCGATTGTGTTAACTGAATCCATGGTCATCTCCTCTCCGAATAAATGCACAAGCTTCATTTATAATCAAAATATCTTCCCTACATTTTTCTATAAGGCACAGTTTTTGTCTATTAGGCAAACAGGTCAACAAATGAAAAAAGTAACAGTCCGGAAGAGGTGACCACCTCCCCCACCCCCCACAATATCAGATTCATGGGTATTTAAATTAAGCTAGAAGGAAATGGTAACTGTAGATTGACTCACAGGAAAGGGAAGGAGAGATATTAAAACGTACTCAATGATTATTAATAAAAATAGGAAGCATGGAACACAGGTGTGAACACTTTTGCTTGCACTAGTTTCCCTGTTCCTCAAAGATGTATGGGTCAACATTAAGCAAGAAGATGATGTTTGATTGAAAAGACAAAACAGTTGTGACAGCTATTAAGACTGAATGCCGCCTGGTAATTAACTGCAGGCTTTCACGCCAGTGAACAAGGAAACACAAGGAATGTTTACACCCCGCAACATGTTCCCTAAGTCTTCCCTTATGTCATCAATTAAACCAAATGTGCCCAGTTTTTCCTTCCCTCCTTCTCTGGGTCATGATGCCGGCCGGAGGAGCCCATCTGGCAAACCGAGCAAGTGCTGCCGAAAGGCATGGGCACCAACAACATGGTGGTTTTAATTCCCTCTCCCTTTAAAAAGATGTAGAAAACACGATATTCACGTCTACTCATAGCAGTAGGGATTGCATTAATATTGTTGAATTACACAGAGGACTCTGTTAGGTTACTCGGCGTCTCTGCTAAAGGATTCCTACAGAATTAGACTTGGTCCTCTCATTCTGATCCTGAATATTTCTTTTTTTTTTTTTTAATGTGTCTTTATTTTGAGAGAGAGAGAGAGAGAGAGAGAGAGAGCAAGCACTAGTTGGGGAGGGGCACAGAGAGAGGGGGGCAGAGGATCTGAAGTGGGTCCTACGCTCACAGCAGTGAGCCCGACACGGGGCTCGAACTCACAAACCGTGAGATCATGACCAGAGCCGAAGACAGACGCTTAACCGACTGGGCACCCAGGAGCCCCCTGAATATTTCTGAATCCGCGCTGTGGCCCAAGCCCTGATAGCAAAATAAGAAGGAAGATTTCCCGTAGCCATTTATAGTTCCTATGGCTCTCCTCTCTCACAAAATGTCCCCTTTTCTTTAAATTAAAAAGGAAAAAGCCTCTGCTTCTCTCTATCCTTATATTTTACTTTCCTATTAATTTATTTTTAGTCATTATTTGTGGTCATTTGTGGTCAGAGCTTTACATCAATATCAAGATTCCCACAGAATCAAGCAACCGTACTTTTAACCGATAGCAAAAAAAATCCAACAAAGTTTATATGATTATTTCTTTGTTCATGGTTATGTTTCAAGTTATTTGCACTGTTCGATATTGCTTGAACATAAAACAAAAATTAACCAGGAAATATAATTTGTATTACTATATTCTGACACACCAGGAAAAATGTACTGCAAAGAAAAGTCTAAGTGACTGCAGTCTTGGCCACATGAACCATTTATGGCTTTTCCATTTCTCTTGGGAACTTTGTGTGGCTTCGAAAGAGATTAGATATTTCCAAAACCGAGACTATAAATTAGTGGATTGGATTAAGTAATGCAAAAAGTTTGTTCATTTCCTTTGGTCATTAACAGCTGTCAACAAATAAGCAAAAACAAAGGAAAAAGAAAAAAAGGAAAAGTATCAAAGTGAACAACAGTAAACTTATAAAAACAATCGCCTTAGTTTTTATCAGAACAAAGGGGTTACAAAATAACCTTACCCCTCCAGAACATTGCACTTCTCCACACATTCCTTGCCACGGGTGACGTTTTGGCAGGACACGCAGTCTTTTGGCTCCGGGCCCCAGCATCCCTCTGATGAGCATAACGGATGACAGACATGGCCTATGGCCTCTGAGAAGACACAGGGAGCCACAAGGAGTCAGCTAGGGGACAGCGACTAGAGGGGCCAGTTGAGACAACACCTGTAAATGAGGCGCTGGGTTCTTTGTGACCCTGAGCTACACAGACATGCTGGGGGGTCCCTGGAAGAAGCAGTGACACAAAATGGGCTTCTAGAGGCCAACTTCAAGTTCCCTTTTCCAGACTGGGAGTCAAGGGCTCCTGGTCCGGACCTGGGTAGCACTTTGCTGATGAGTGTCATAGCTGATGGAGACACAAGGGAAGGTTTGTGGTTCCTTGTCGTGTGCTGGGCACCATGTCAAGAGTTTTATATACAAAATTTCACTTCATTCTCTCACTAGCAGTGGGAATCACTGCGGTCTCCATTTCATGGATGAGGAAGCCAAAGCTTAAAGGTATTAAGTACACTGACCAAGATCTGGAAGCTAGGAAGGGCTAGAGGCAGAATTTGAACTCAGATCTGCTTCTCTCAGTGACCAGGGTCTCGGTAAAAAGAAATGTGCATGGCCTGGCTTCAAGAGAAGCCTGTGGCTCTAAACTCAGATGAGGAAATGTCACTGTAAAATGCTCATTCTATCTGCATGCGTGTGTGTATGCCTCTATGTGTTGCCAGCTAGAGTCATTAGAGGCTGAAATGAGCAGGGAGAACGGCTGAAAGGTAAAATAATTAATGCTGAATTTAGTTCTGTACGTTACAAATAATTGACAGCTTAAACCTCCAGGCAAATTCATCCTACAAAATGTGAATGATCTGGAAACAATTCCGGTGAACTTCCCATGATAACTTCACATGTAGGGCTGTACAGATTTCTTTTAATCTGCTTCTTTAGGAATGAAAAATATAATTTAAATGTTTGGGAATCTTCTAAATCAACATACATGACCCACGTGAACCATTTCCATGATCAACCAAAGTGATTACTTACTGCAGCCTTTTTCATCTTTGTTGTTTATAATTTTGGTTTTCTGACTTGAAGTCCCAAACAGTTTTTTCCAGTTTATTGTATTTGCATAGCACAATTTTTGGTTTCCTGAAACGATCACATCTCCATCACTTATCTCCTTGAGGGAGCGTAATCCCAAGGACGTTATGTCCAGGCCGACAACCGCAAGAGAAAACTGACCACTACAGTGGAGGGAAGAAAAATAACATTGTGAAAAATGACCAAACAATTCTATCACTAAAAGCTTTATTTTAATTTTCTTCTGGACCACCTTATATGTACTACAATCCCCCTCCCGGTGACTGTAAGTCATATTGCAGGAAGTCTGTATTGCAACTTTTGAAAATGACAACAGATTTTTTTAGCTCCTCCAGGGAAAAGCTAGTTCCTTGTCCATTTACTATCTTTAACCCCAGTGGAATACTGAAGGTGAATAAATATTAATGTCATTATTATATTTACTGCATGTTTTTTTTTTTTTTGCCTGGGAATTGAACAGCATCTTCTTCTTTTTTAATGTTTATTTATTTATTTTGAGACACAGAGCAAGAGCATAACAGAGATGGGGGAGGGGGAAGGAATGCATGGGAAGGGGCAGAGAGAGAGGGAGAGAATCCCAAGCAGGCTCCACACTGTCAGCACAGAGCCCGATGCAGGGCTTGAACTCACAAATCTGAAGATCATGACCTGAGCCTATTGAGAGTTGGACACTTAACTGACAGAGCCATCCAGGTGCCCTGAGAGCATGTTCTAATCCCTCAAATATCCAAATACACTTCAAAAATCATAGGTTCATTTTTTCCATCCACCCACCTACCCATTAATCTATCTTTCCATCCACTCACCCATCTATTGATCCATTTGTCCATCTACTTATCTAGGCAGGCATGCTTCCATCCATCCATTTTTCCATCTATCTATCTATCTATCTATCTATCTATCTATCTATCTATCTATCCATCTATCCATCCATCCATCCATCCATCCATCCATCCATCCATCCACCCACCCTTCCATCCTCTCATCTATGCATCCATCTACCCACTCATCTATCCATTCATCCATGGATTCATTCAACCATCCATCCACTCAGCTATCTATCTATCCATCCATCCATTGATCCACTGACCCATCAATCCATCCATTAACCCATCCATCCATATATTGAACAAACATCTGAACCATCCAACTCTGTCTGTGCTAGAACTCTATAAGACTATCCATATGTTTTCATCAAGGGACTGGATAAAAGTAATTCAGACTAAAAGGAGGGAAATCCTGAACCACCAGGAGGAACAGGAAGGCAAGAAAGCATCTGATGGGGTGCTGAGAACCAGGAGCTCCTGCTGGAGCAGAAACCTGGAGGTGAGGAGGCTTGGGCAAGGGATCTAGGGAGGGTGACAGAAGACCTTGCACCCTTGAGCTTGGTTGTTGTGTGCAAATGATGCGGAACTACAGGAAAGAGACTTGCATTTTTAGGAAGCTCATTGGACACCAGGACAGGGAACAGACCAGCTGAGGCAGCACTCAATGAGGAGTCATCAGACAGGAGATGACAAAAGTTGAATTTGGAGACCCCTCCTCTCCTTGTTTCTCTTTCTCTCCTGACCCTTTCCTCCTTCTCCCTTCCCACAACCCGGCTTCTGTGGAAAGCAAGGAGCCCTGTGTTGAAGACCTGTAACTCTACTGTTTAGGAATTCTCTCTCAACATGTGCCCACAGAAGCCTAGGCACTGGGACAAAGCTGGTGTCTTCCGTGCAGGCCAGACCTGGCTCTGATGAGCTGTACCTGGAGCCAGCGATCACCTTGCCCCAGGAGGGACTGTGTATTTCTAGACTTCTCATAAATGTGAAAAGGAAAAAAAAAAAGTAATTCTAATTTTGTTTAAATTCCGAAACGTAAGCCAACTGGCACCTGCCAGTCACTTAAGAAAATGGATCTAAATCTCTTGTCTCTATGAAAGAAGTGGTTCAAAAGAAGTGGTCTTGAGAACTCAGAACAAAGGGGTCTTTCTGGGAAGCAATGGTTATTATCAGAGATGCACAGCCAAGAATGTTTTTAAAAAGCAGTATATATTTTATGTGTACTATACTCTAATTTTCTTTAATATAATTTTAAAATGTTCATTTATTTTGAGAGAGAGAAAGAGAGAGTGCACATGAGCAGGGGAGGGGCAGAGAGAGAATCTGTCAGTGCAGAGCCTGACGCGGGGCTCGAACTCACAAACTGTGAGATCGTGGCCCTGAGCCGAAATCAAGAGTAGGACGCTTAACTGACTGACCCACCCAGGCGCCCCATGATTTTCTTTAATATTGAGTGATATTATGTAGTCATTTTAAAGGACAATTAATGAGTAATAGTTCTCAGCATCAGACTGTTTCCAAGGCAGGTCTGACAAAGAAATTCTCAAATCATTATTACTCTGAACTATATTCAAGATGCTTCTACGTGAGTATGCCACTGTCGGAGTTGGAAAAGTGGAACCGCTGAACCAGTCGTGTATCAAAAAGTCTGTCAGCCCCCTCTGACGCGGTGCGCTCATAAGGACATGTCATTTCAGGACTCCTCTTACCAAAACACGTACAACCTCCATCGAATCATTAGAAAACATCAGCCCTTCCACAAAATGCTTGGCCAGTACTTTTTAAAAGCGTCAAGGCCATAAACGAGATGAAAAGACACAGGGACTGTTACAGATTGGAAGGGACTAAGGAGACACAGCCACCAAGTGCAGTGCGGGGTACTGGACTGCACACTGACACGCGGCATTCACGAGCAAACTGGTGACATCGGAGTGACGTCTGGTGGTGGAGGTCACAGCAATGTGCCGATGTTAATTTCTTCCTCTGCCTCTCGTGCCATGCTTCGGTGAGAAGCTTGCTGGAGGACTGATGGCAGCTCTCTGCAGGATCTTTGTAACAGCTGTAGAAGTCTAATTTCAAACTCTTCTGTAGGTCTTATTTAAAAAAAAAATTTGCTTTTTAATCTACCAGGCTTTGGCCCGGGTCAACTTACTGTTGCTTTGTTCTTCCACGTATGATTTCTAGGTTCTCGAAAGCATGGAGGTCAGTCCTGTTTTCAGGCCAGGCCTGAATCAGCAAAAACCCTACAAAGGCAGAAGGAAGGCTCAGACACGCACCGCTTATACGTTTCTTTTTTATGAGACATTTTAGGATTCTCGAGAGACTGTAACAGGACAAAGAAAGGTGAACATCTGATTGGATTCTTTTTCTAATCTTTACCTTACCCACGTGTTGATACAAGCCAAGGCACAATTATACAGCGGACATCCTGCCTCTGACGTAGAATCCCCCGTCCCTCCCTGCATCTCTCCCACCACCCAACACCCCCACGGGCTGTCCCGTGGTGCCGAAGCTCTGACAGCCTTGCTGGGCTCCGTATCTGATGACCCAGACTGGCTTCTTAATGACAAGTGCCATGTCTTAAGCTGTCACAGAATGAGATTCACAGATTTTCCTGACTTAATTCCAATATTCCAAACAATCTTGTTATTTAGGTCCAATTATTCCCTTTTTATGGATGAAGGCAGTGGAGCTCTGATGGCAGTCATGGACCAAAGGTTGGCCGGTGGCCGAGCAGGGACGTGAAGTCCAGTCTGTGAGGCTCGAGAGCCTGTGCTGTTCCTTCAGCACTTTGCCTTTCCTCTCCCTCTACCCATGAAAGTCACTGGGCCATCAGGACGGCTGGCCGGGGCCGAGAAGACAAGGACACAAAATCGGGAATGACTCGTCTTTGATTAAAGTGTTTACCCTTCATGTGCAGGGGAAAGCGCACTTGTGAAAACGATCAAAGAACCCATTAGTCATTAGTGGTAGACGTTGAGAGGAAATGTCTTTATGCCAAGAGAGAAGAGATTACATCCACAAGTTCTCTCTGTTCAACACCCATTTTCCATTTATGTTGATGGATATGTTGGCAGCACACACCTGTAATTTCCTTTACAGTTTTTAGAATATCCAGTTCCTTTGGATCTAGAGGTGGAGTATGCGTGAAGGAGTCACTGAAACAAGCAACAGAATGATTATTGATTAACAATCTCGTCCAGTGAACAAAGTGGATTTTGTGTTTCTCCCTACCAGTGCCTTAATCTGTTACTTACCCTCTAAATGCTACTGGCAGGATATGAAGATCTCCACTGATCGAGGTGCAATTTTTGAAGTGTTTAATATTTGTAGCATTGATGGAAAGTGTGTCTTTAAATTCACCAATTCCTATTCCATTACAAACTATAAAGAGAAGGGAGATGTTTATTCCACTCACATATGTTGGATTAAGAGTAGCTAGGGATCTACAGGCAGAAGGAAGCGGGAAGGGAACTGTAGCCATGAGACTATCACTGCCATGCCATCATTCATTCATTCAACAAACATTCACGGAGGCCGGCTGGGCACCATAACTGTGGCAGGGCTTGGAGTTAAGCGGTTGGAGAAGGTGATGCTGTCCTCGTTGATTGCCGTTGCTGCCCTCAACTTGGGTTCTCTTCCTCACGATCTCCCTCCTAGACTTAGTCTAATTGCTCTTAACTACTCTTGCTTCCTCTGGTTTGTGTCCTTGGCAGTGCAATCCACGGGCTGCCACCAGCACCACTTCTGTCCGGCTCTCGTCAGGGCATTCCCCTAAAACTCAACACCTTTCCATTGTTCTAACCTGGTTACGTCTTTGTCCTCCGTCTTACAGAAACAATGGGCACAGATTTTTTTTTTAATTAGTAAGAGTAAGGTGCATTCCTCTGAGGATGTTGAGAAATAGAATAAAGGGACCAAAATGACCAGAAATTCCACTCTAGGGTATTTTGAAAAGTGTTCCTTCCAGCTATCCTCCGTGGTGATGACACGCCAGATATGTATTTTTTTTTCGCTTTTTCTGCCGTGAACATTCCTCATATCATATAAACTATTCGTTGAAGGTGATTGTTAATGGCTGTCTTATATTACATCATAGGGAATACTGTAATAACTTTTATCAGATTAACTGCTGTTCTTCCCCTGTGTTTACTTGAGCCAAATGCTTTGATCTGCGTCCTATTGCTACATCAGTCTCAGATGCCCTTTTCCACACCCTGGGCCCATTTATTAATTTATATCCACTCCTAAATTTCCATCTCAAATGCCATCTCTGCCCTAAAGCCCATATTTATCTGCTATAATTCTCCCTCTAGAATTTGCAGATAAATTTTGGTACCTATCTTCCAGACCTATCTTGACTTTGAAGTACAGTCACTGAAAATCTCATTGCTCAGGATAAGGTCCTATCCTGTCCTCCCCCTGGACTTCTAGGGGGTACAGTCAAGCCCCGCTGTCCCACCGCCGGCCTCTGTGCTCTGCTCCATTGGGAGTCCCTTGTCGCAAAGAACCTTCCACTCTGGCAGCCATGACTGTCCTGCTGGGTCTCTGGGCTCACTCTGTGTGCCAGCCTCCTCTCTGGTCTGGGGGTGGAGGGGGCTCTTCTAAGGACTCCTGTGTCGACTGGCTCACTCAAACCTTCTTTAGGATTCATAGGGTCTGGCTGACAATGGAGAATGAGGTGGCCATATAAGGACTTGCCATTTAATTACAGGTCTGGCAGAGAATTCCATGTGTTTGAGAGAATATTCATTCTCTCTCTTTCTCTCTCTCTCTCTCTGCTTGTGTGTGATAGTGGGGGCAGGGTTACTTTAATTCCTAAATTCAGAGATAAATTATGTATTCACCCCTAGAGATTCCTGCACCGTCATCCTTACCCAGTGGTATTGCCCTATACCTGAAGGGCTCTGAATTTGGGATAGGCAGAAAAATAGGTCAGAATCACTATAGGAGAATCAAACTGTTTACGTGTTCGAACACATAATGTGTTTGAACACAAAATGGACAAAACCAAACCCAAACCATCTCTGATTATGTCAGTCATGCGAGGGCGCTGACAGTAACCCTCTCTTTCCTCAGCGGACTCTTCTCTCTTACTCCCTCTGTGCCAGGCGCCGCCCCACATTCTTATTTTCCTCCTTCTATGTCTCCTCTGCCAGACAGTTTGCTGAAGCCAAAGGACACTCATCCATCAGGGCACTGACCCGCCTGCCCCCCAGGGGTTATAAGACCGGGAAGAGGTGGACCGAGCCGACGAGCTCATGGGTCTGGCCTAGGACCAAGCTTGCATGAACTTCAAATCTTGGCTGTTATTCTTAGCTGTTGAAACTTGGGCAAGTCATTTAGACTCCCTGGTACTCGGTGTCCTCATCTGTAGAATGGGATCATGATAACACAGAGGTGTTGGGACGGTTCAATGACATGGAGGCTAAGCTGGCCCCGTGGAGAATGCGTGTCAAATGTCTATGGGAGTAAAAAGGGGAGCAATCAGTTTCAACTGAAAAGACGGATAGCTTCACAGGGAAGGCGGCACCCGTGGATATCAAGGTAAGCAGCTGGGCACTGAGGTGCTGTTTATAACACCGAAATAGTGGAACAATCAAAATGAGCACATAAAGTGAGATGGGTTGAAAAAATTCTGGTGCAGCCACAGAGGGGAGCCTAGGCGGCTGTACCGGAGAATGAAGAAGATTTACATGGACTCATCCGGAGTGATTTCTAGGATATATGAAGTTTAAGAAGCAAAGTACAAAGAGCGTAGACAGTGGCTTTTGAGCAGAAGACACGACTGGGACACAGGAGCCAGCTGTAGGGGCTCCCACTGGCCACATGTTGAGCTAATTTGAGCACCCAAAGGAATGACAGGAATGAATTACAAGAACTTGAATAAAGAAGGATTCCATGATCTCATGTAGGAGGTAAAAAAAAAATTTTTTTTTTTTTAAATTTTTTTTTTCAACATTTATTTATTTTTGGGACAGAGAGAGACGGAGCATGAACGGGCGAGGGGCAGAGAGAGAGGGAGACACAGAATCGGAAACAGGCTCCAGGCTCTGAGCCATCAGCCCAGAGCCCGACGCGGGGCTCGAACTCACAGACCGCGAGATCGTGACCTGGCTGAAGTCGGACGCTTAACCGACTGCGCCACCCAGGCGCCCCCAAAAAAAATTTTTTTAAAGAATGCCAACTAATAAATGTAGAAGAAATGACAGAAATAGGAAGTCACTCTTTTATAACCACCCAAAAATCTTTTCTGATTTGTCATCATTAGTAATGAACTAACATGGTATCCTATGTCCCTTGCTGTGAGACGATGAGAGGAAATCAACATGACGTATAATGCTCCTGCCCAAAAAAGCTCAACGTGAATGTGACCATGAGGAAAAACAGCCAGTGAAGCCAAACTGAGGGACCTACTGCAAAATACCTGGCCTAGACTCTTCACATCAGGTCACGGAAGACAGAAGGAAAGCAAGTGGGGGGAGGGGAGCTGAGCCACAAATGTCAAGTAATGAAGAAAATGGGGGCAAGACATCTACCTGAAACCCATGATTGTTGATTGGGGTCTGGATTGAAAAGCAGCTAAATATGACATAATGGGGACAGAAAGAGGAAGTCTGAACTACGTAGAATACTAGGAAAGAGTATTGAGTCGATGTTCAACAATCCTGAGTGTGAACGTGGTCTTTCTTTACTTAGGAGAATGGCCCCCTTTGTAAGAAAATAGGCTGACAGACGTAGGGGTGAAGTGTTACAATATCTGTAACTGTCCTATAGATCAGAGAACAATTTCACCCATGCATGCGCACATAACACATACGCACACACACATACACACAAATATGGAGCCAGTGAACGCAATGTGGCAAAATGCCAACCAGTGGCGAATTCATATATGAGAGGCATATGGTGTTCACTGCACCATACCTGCGATGTTTTTGGGGGTTCAAAAATTTTTACAAAAATGATAAAGTAAAAGCCCAAGTAGGAGCACGCTAGCATTGAGGATACTCCAAGAACAGGGCACGGGATGAAGGAACAAATTTGTGAGCCTGAAGAAAAAGACTTGCTCAAATCTCTTCCCAAGTCTGATGCCGAGGGGGGTCCGGCGGAGGTAGGGCAGAAAACCCCCAGCTTTGTGACCAGAGAGAAAGCCTCATCCCCACCCCGTACAGGCCTCCTACCTTTACGGCAAGGCCCTTCACACTTTTTACACTTGCGGACGCCATCTTCCTCCACTTCATAGCTATCAGAACTGCAGGCACGGACACACGAACCGTGGTCTGTCACCACATAGTTACCTGGGGAGAGATAAGGAAAGGAAGGTGCTGAAAGCAGCAACAGGTGTTTCTGGGCCTCACACAGTTGTCACCTGTTCTACAAAGGGGCGGATGAAAGGGGCCTATCATCCTCTGCTTTTATTTACTTTAAGGACAAAGAACGAAAGGTTGCAAACAGACAAGGTATCTAGTTCAAGAGTTTTTAACAGCTTACGCAGCCATGACATGGAGAAATAGATTTCAGCACGTAGGAGACGGACGTGTCAGGTAGAACGTGGTGTCTGCTCACAAGTTTGGAAACATCTCCTCACAGCTCATTTTTCTGGACGTTCTAACTTTAGGACCTATGGTTAAAGCCTGAATACTTATTAAAACTAAGTGACCCCGAACGAAGCCCACTCTTCCAGCGAAGCTGCCTCATCTGGGGATACGCATAATTCGTGTGGCAGACCTGCTGCCCTCTGTGGTTCTGTCCAGCCTGACAACCTTCCCTTTGCTGGGGGCTGGGACCACCAGCTGGTGCTGCATGAAGCCAGGCACATGAGTCATCTTGCAAGCCTCCCCTCACGCTGACTTAATTTAACATAAATATCAATGTTTCTGGAGCTCTAAGTGTTCCTGTTTTGACTTCCCCCAGTATGTCCTCACACATATTTCTTGGACATTTATAATTTTTCTTTCTGTAAATTGTCTGCTTTTCTCCCAGGTTCTGTTTTCCTGTGGATTTATTATTTTTTCTTTTTTTAATGTTTATTTATTTTTGAGAGAGAGAGACAGAGCGTGAGCAGGGGAGGGGCAGAGAGAGAGGGAGACACAGAATCCAAAGCAGGCTCCAGGCTCCGAGGCATCAGCACAGAGCCTGACGCGGGGCTCACACTCACCGACCATGAGATCAAGACCTGAGCCGAAGTTGGGCGCTTAACTGACTGAGCCACCCAGGCGCCCTGTTTTCCTGTGGATTTTTATTTTTTATTTTTTTAAATTTTTTAACATTTATTCATTTTTGAGAGTGAGAGAGACAGAGCATGAGCAGGGGAGGGGCAGAGAGAGAGGGAGACACAGAATCAGAAGCAGGCTCCAGGCTCCGAGCTATTAGCACAGGGCCTGACGTGGGGCTTGAACTCATGGACTGTGAGATCATGACCTGAGCCAAGGTTGGATGCTTAGCTGACTGAGCCACCCAGGCGCCCCTCCTGTGGATTTTTAAACTCTACCTAGTAAGCCCTCCATCAAAAATGATACCTGTGTCATAATTGTGGCAATTTTTAGAAATTTTATTCAGTTAGTCCCATTACCATGGTGTACTGTTCAATTTGTAAATTATTTTTTCTGTATAGAATTTAAAGGTTTGCATGTCCACAAATCTGGTAGGGCAATGCTCCCTCTCATAATGGTACCTACAATTGTTTTTTTCTCTTGGTTAATTTTTACTCCTAGAAATTAGGAATGGTTTATAAAGCTTTTTAATTAGACAACTCTACACTTTCTCTTTTAGGACATAATTCCTATCACCATTTACCTGAATACTATAGCCATCTGTAGAGGGCAAATACAAATAAGCAAAACCCAATTCAAAACAATTAAAACAAAACAAACCAATACACAAAACCCCTCCTGTGCAGTGTTAGAACCTCTAGAAGGCACAATTTTGACCAGGATTTTAACCACTAAAGAGGGCGGGTCTTGTGACACACTCTTTAACTTAGGTCTACTGGGGCAAGAGCTAAACAGTGAAATGACCCAGTGGCCACGGGTTTGTGCCAGTCAGACAACTGATATTCTGGACCAGTACAGCTGGACCTCGGTCCCAGGGTGTGTTTCTTGTCCTGGCCACCATGGATGTGAAAACTGACAGTGGTGAACAGGGCACCAGCCATTGCCTGTCACCTGCGGCAGTGTCTTAACCCGTCCCCTATACCATTGGGCAGGCCTACAGTCACCTGTCTGACAGTGAGGCAAACATACGACAAAAAGATTACCCAAGACAGAGGGACTCAAGGATTAGGAGATAAAACAGGAAATGGATGCCTGATAACTGAAAGGGTTTTGCATGTGATGAACTCACGGGGGCATTTCTTCACACAGGTGGCACCAAAGCTGTATTTTCCCTCTGGGTTGACATCCATCTGGTAGGTGGTGGGGTTGTAGAGCATGAGTGGCGGGCAGGTGTCCTTGCACGTGGCTTCATCCCGGAACTTGCGGCAGACCTGTTCACAGGAGGGACATGCACTGGTCAAACTGGCAAGGACACTCAGCACTGTGTCAATTCTGTGCAGAAAGCTCAGGTTATAGTTCCCAATGTCCAGGAATTTGATTCAAGCAAAAAAAAAAGAAGACAAAAACAAGCAAAAAAAAAAAAAAAAAAAAAACCTGGCCAAGTACTTTCAGTAGAGTCAGAAAGACCTTTTTCTTAAAAGTATGATTTTTCTTACACTGTCTTATCTGTGATAATTTATGGTTTATGATGGAAAAAATACATCTTTATTAACTACGAAAGGATGCAGGAGTTCACATACTAGAGTGAGAACTATAGAGTGAAATTATATTTAAACTCAATTTACATTGGGTTTCCTTATAAGGAACACTTGAGGATATATGTTAAACATTTATTTTTTATTTTTATTTTGGGGCAGGGCAGAGGCAAAGGGAGACAAAGAATCTCAAGCAGGTTCCAGGCCCAGCATGGAGCCTGACGCAGGGCTCGATCTCGTGACTGTGAGATCATGACCTGAGCCGAAATCAAAGGTCTGACACTTACCGGATTGAGCCATCAAGGTGCCCCATTTTTTAAAAAGCATTTTATTTTTACTTTTATTTTTTTGAGACAGAGATTAAGAGAGAGAGAGACAGAGGCAGAGGGAGAGAGAGGATCTCAGCAGGCTTCACACCCAGCACAGAGCCTGGAGGATATATTTTAGCACTTACTGCCAAATTACAGATAACCTTGATGAGGAAGGGTACCATGCAGAGGGGACCAGACCATATACGGTCATGGCCCTGAGACCTACATGCCATCTCCCTTCCAGGGGCACATTGCAATCAGCCCAGACGAACCAAGTCAAAATCCTGGCCAGGTCCAGCCTCTGGACTTTAAAAATCCTCCCTTCCCTCAAATTGGGAATCTTCTGGATTCCACCTTAGGTGGGCCTCCTCGCCCGGAGCCCACAAGGGTGTCATAGCACTTGGTGCTGCCTCCAGACACACATCTGCCAGCCCTGGTGTCTCCAGGACTCCCATGGTGCCCACAATTGAGGTACCACCTACATGTGGTGCCCACAGCCCCTGGGACACTAGGCTTTTGCCAGGGACAAAAGCGACTGCTTCAAGACCTTGTGTCGGGGGTGTGGGCAGAGGCTCTGAGCTGTGGTGGAAGGAGCAGGAGGACTCGGTCAGAAGATCCAAACATAGCTCCAAGCCGTGCTGAGATCCGTGTGGCTCTGGGTGTGTCGCGTAACATCTCTGTATCCAGGTTGGGGGCCTTACGAAATCAACTCCATAGGTTTATACTGAGACTGACATGGAACAGTAAAGAGTGTGAGAACAGTGCTACTGGCCGCAATACACATTAACCCCAGAGAGTTCGTATTTATTCTGATGCTCATTCGATGCCCAGGTCCCGGTTACGGATGCCACATGCGCTGTGTCACTTAAATAACCTAACAGGTGGGTATTTGCTATCCATCGTTGTCAGGGGAGGAAACCGGGGCACAGAGGGGTCATATGATTTGCCTGAAGTCACAAGGTGAGTGGTGAAGGCGGGACGATACCAGATGCTGTGGTCGGGCTGGGGGAGGGGTGAGCCTTACCAGGCAGTCGCTCTCTCGGGGCCCCGTGCAGCCGGCAGCACACTGGTTATGGCAGCAGTCGCTGGGGGACCTGCCGCGGCAGCGCCCGGAACACTGCTGGGCGCAGATGATTTTGGTCACTGAAAAGGAGCAAAAGTCACCTGTGAGCTGAAGAGCCAGGGAAGGGTCATTCCTCAGGAACCTTGCAGAGCACTTGGAAACAGATGAAAACGTGAACCAGGTGATGAATTCAGTGATTCCCGGCTCGTTAAAATGTTCCCATTCACGCTCTGCCTAATAACACTGAATCATGACATTTCTTTATTGCGCCTCTGTTTTCTACTTATTTTTAATCACTTAGGAGAACTAACCAGATCAAGTCTAGACTTCTGGACCTGCTCGATAATTGCATGTTAGTTAGAACTGAGATTCTGGATGATATGGAAAGCACATCAAATAACAGAAATGCTGCCAGAAAGGAGTGTTTAAAAGGGCGAAACCCTCACATCACAATTAAACTGAAGGACAGATAATGAACTTTTAAGGTGACAGCTCCCCAGATCCCTAGGCCACCCATGCTCGTAAACTAGGATTCCTGCAGAAAAACCCTCCTGAGAAGGATTCCTCCTGGTTCTGTATAGGCGGGCTCCCAAGAGAGAGAAAATAAGAAGTGTTGTGACGCTCAGGTAACATGGCCGAGTCTTCTGTTCCCAGGAAGATCTGCCAAACATACTGCTCAGAGAGAGTGGCTGTATGCGTGTGGCTGGCTTTCACTCACTTATGACAGGCTGGAGTGCCCCAAAGAGCCCACTCTGGATTAACCGCATGCGGGGAGATCTGCAAGAATGTCATTCACATAACTGCTCACATCTGGCCTTAAAACAAGACCGCATTTAGGAATCTTCAAAGGGAAAACACATACAGTTCGCTAAGCATAAGGGGAAGAAGGTGGGCACACATTTATCCGAAATTTTGTTTGCTGACTTACATTTCTGGCAATTCTCCTTTCCCGGACCCCAGCAGCTTCCATTGGGACATCCTGGATCACACTTTTGGCCTAAAATGTAAAGGTAATAGTTGAATTCGTATCTCAGAGGAAGCAAGCAGGCTGATGGCAGGGACTGCCCAAACCCCTGAGCAACATGATGTTCTAGAAACAAGGAACAGCTTTCACATTTCTTATTCTCTGTTTATTTGCTGGTTGACTTGTAAGATGATTCAAAAGACTTTGATAAGAAAAAAAAAGATGAACCACGTTCTGCTTTTATGTACATTTCAGCTGTAGAAACTGAGGCAGAGAGTAATTATGGACTTGTCACAGGCTATGAAGACTGGAATTCAAATGAACTCAATGGTCCAATTTCCCATATTTGTTTAAGCTTGGGAGAAGTTTTCAGCTTCTCCCATGACATTAAGTGTGTCTAATCTGGTGGGGCTGTTATGCACCCACTACATTCTCAGTATTTTTACTAGCATGGTTGTATCATAATTTCTTTAACCAATCTCTTATTTTTAGATATATAAGTTCCTTCCAAAATCCATTATAAATAAGGCTTCAAGGAATATTTTTGTACAAAAATAATTTTTTTATATCCTATAATTTTCATTCTCCTTATAATTTTTTCTTATTCCTAGACATGAAGTTTCATAGTTCAGGGGGGTGGGGCATACTTTAAAGCTTCAATACATATTGCCAAAATTCTATCCCTGACCATGTCTCATTATTTTATATGCCCACAAGAAGAATATGAGAATTTCTGCTTCTCCATACCCTTCCTGATCTGAGTATCTAAAAATCAAAAGGAATCCAAATATTTAGCAAAGACAAAAATGAGATGCTTCTTTGTTTTATTTTGACCCTTTTAAAATTACAGTAAGAAATAACTTCTTACTTTATTTCTTGGCCATCTTGTGTGTGGGGAGATACAAACTGTTCATGTCTTTGGCCCATTTTTCTTTTTTTATTGGGAGGTTCACCTTTTTCTTGGGATTCCTAAGACTACTTTATACATTCTTATCATCAAGAATATTAGCCCTTTCCAAGGCAAGCAGATGACGCACAATATTTTCTGTTTGTCGTTAACACGGTTTATGGTATCTGACTGGCTTTTCTCCAACTTGATATGACACACATTCACCTTTAAGTTTCCTTCTAGCACTTACATATATATTCAGTGATTTATTACATATAATATGATTTGGGATTGATATGGATGTACAAAGTGGATGATTGATTTATTTTAGTTTCCTCTTAAGTAAACCCACCTGATATAACTTTGATTGCCAAACAAATCAACAATAACATAGTGTAGGGGCACCCTGGGTAACCTTTCTGAATCTCAAATCCATTGTCCATAAAATACTTAAATCACCTTATCAGATTTTTTGGCTAAAAATTTAAGAAGACAAGTTCTCAGAAGATATGTGTGGCCTGAAAAGGGCTGGAAAGGGAAGGGTTTCCCTTTCCACAAGGACAGCAGCAGACTCCTGCACTTGTCGCCGGTCAGGGGATTAATAAGGATGGCCGGGGAATGGTGTTCCTTTTTAAAACAATCATTACAGTTCTGTCACTTTGACATTTTCTCCTTAACAGTTAAATAATTCTGGAGGAATTTACTGGATAATGAATTCTTCCCTTATTTGCTTGATATGTCATTTCTTCATGGACATTTAATTTAGCAAGGTTTATTCTTACTGTCTTTCTCTTACATATTGGTGGCTTATTGTTACATATCTATTCTTGACCCAATATCCTATCAGATTGCAATTTGTGGCTTTGTTGTATTTGAATCTTGTTATTGCGTGCACCTGTCATTCTTCCTTCCCAACACTTTCTTCTTGGTCTTTCCCATGGTCTTGGTGTGATGGGGGCACGTGTGCCATTCAGGCTGTCTGACCTCATGTACAGGAAACCCACATAAGCCTCACAGCCTTCCTGTGTCAGTTTTTGTTTTTGTTGTTGTCATCATAAATGTGCACGATTTAACTTCCTCATTGTCCATCAGATAGCTAGGGAAAGGTTAACCTTGATGTGATGGATAACACAAAATCTTGTGTCGTAAAATACAGGTTTCAGTTTCTTGCAAACACAGTAGGTGCCCTGCTGAGTATGCGTGGGAATAATCTACTTATTAAACCAAGGGGCTCAAAACCCATGTTCATAGCAGCGTTGTTCATAATTGTCAACAGATGGAAGCAACGCAAAAGCGCATCAACTAATGAACGGAGAAACAAAGCATGTGGGATGTGGGTACATATACACATGCAACAGAATACTGTTCATCCACATCAAGGTAAGAAATTCTGATGTATGCTACAACATGGATGAAACTCGTGGACATTGTAAGTGATCGAAGCCAGCCACAAAAAGACAAAAACTATGTGACCCGACTTGTACGCGCTCCCTAGAATAGCCACACTCACGCCGACAGAAAGTAGCACAGTGGCTGCCATGGGCTGGGGGCAGGGACGGGGAGTTAATGTTTGATGGGGACACGGTTTCAGTTTCGTGAGATGAAAAGAGTTGTAAAGAATGGAGGGTGGTGATGATTGCACCACGGTGTGAATGTACTTAATACCAGTGAACTGTATACTTAAAAATGGTTAAGATGGTAAATTTTACGTTAGAGGTATTTCACAACAAACAAACAAACAAACAAACAAATCAGTAAGATTAAGTGAAATCCCCACAAAGGGGCTCCAGTCAATTTTGAAGAGCTGTGTGCGCTCCAAATTCTTTGAGACCAAAGAAAACAACAACAACAACAACAACAACAACAACAACCAGAAAAAACCCCAAACAAAAACATGCATCCATGGCATAGTTTAGGGAAACAGAGAAGCAGGAAATGGGGATGGCTTCTTATTTTAAAGGATTGAAAGATGAGGGAGATCAGGAAGGGGGATGCTTAGCGGAGCCTGGTAACTGTAGGCAAGTGTCTGCAGATTCCCATACAGCACTGCCAGGGAGCCAAGGGGTACAGCCTTGACCTACAGCCTGGCCCCCTGCCAGCCTCTCCCTGGCACGGGCCGCTTTACTGATGAATGGCAGTGACTAGATCATGGGCATTAGGGGGAATACGGACAGACTCCCGCCCTGTGTGCTGTGCCCAACCTTGCCTGAGGCTCCGTGTAGGAGGGCGGAGGTCAGCTTAGTGCTTCCGGAGGGACCTGGCATCACTCTGAGGCTCAGCAGCAAGTCAGAAGCACACAAAAGTTTGGTCTGCCTCCTCCAGCCAGGACGGGAGAACCCCCCGTGCCAGGACTCAACGGCCACATGAGGGCTCAACTGTCTCAGGGGTGATCTGCCAAAACAGACTTTCCCTCTGTCTTAAATAGGTGCTCTTCTCGTGGGCAGATCAACTGTCGCTAGATATCTTGGGTTTAGATTAATGTGACTTAAACAATGGCTCAGCTTTCCGCCACCCCCACCCCCTCCCGACCCCAAAGCACCACGGCTCTGTCCCACCACAGGAGCTACAGGCAGAGGGGACGTCTGTAGAACACTTACAGTTGCCCACGTGGTTCTGGAAGTCCATCGACATGTTGCTTATGAAATCGTTGTCAACGATATCCCGCCACTGGATGGTTTCCACGTTGCAGAGGACAGGGTTGTTGCTGAACCGCACAGCGCCTTGCAGGATTTCTGCACGTGCAAAGAACCTCAGTCAGCCATCTGCCACGTCTTTATACTCCCACAAAGTACATACGCATTTCTTTACATTTTGAGTCCTGCTAAAATGCCAGTGTGCAAACGAGACTCCCCATAGAGCTTTAGTGGGGGCAGCTGAAAAATGAGTTGATGATAGTGCCTTGGAGGAGTTAGGTTCCCCCCACCCTGAAATGGGCCTTAGATCAGCAAACTGTCAGAATTCAGAAATGTGAGGAGGAAGGAAGCTGTACGATGATGTGAAGGGGCAACCAGGAAGGCAGGGCCACGGCAGTCACTCACTGTGGGCCGGGGAGGCCAGGAGAGGGGGCGATGCTGTGAGCTGCCTCTGAGCTCCTCACTGGAGAAAGCGGGGTGGGGGTGGGGTGGGCAGTGAAGGGGTCTGAGAAGAATCTACATGCATGATGAAGAGATGGCAGACACTGGGAATGCAAATGGCATGAAAAAAAAAAAAAACGTATGATTGTTTCAAAGGAAGAACTGATAGGACAGGAAAAATCAGGGCAGATTGAGAAGAGATTCGAGCGTAAGCAAAGGGAGAGCGTTGCGTCGATGACATTAGACAGAAACAGTGGCACGAAACACTGCAGCAAGAGCTGTGGACCCTGTGAGGATGAAGCACATCTAGCTGCCGACAGGCAAGGGGAGCAGGGCAGGTCACATGACGAGGTCACGCCACAGAAGACCGTGCATGCCATGCGACAGGGCCAGGTACTCTGCTAGTTGATTCAAACACATTATCTTAATTAATCTTCAGAATGGTCCCAGGACTCTCTGTGCACAAAGTGCCATCATGGAAAAGGAAGGGGTCTCCCGAAGAAGGGGTCTGAGGCTGCTGGAAAGAATGGCATTTTGCAGAACACAGACAGGAGTGCACTCTGAGGGAGCACGGAGGGAGGGCGCAGTCGGCTTTCTCTCGCCAGGAGACCGCAGCCAACGTGTGTCGGTGAGACAGGCAGGCATTTTCCTCGGCGGGTGGTGGGGAACAAAGGAATCACGGAAGGAAGGCTGGGAGGTCCAAAGGGCCAAGTTGTGGAGCTTTGGGTATAAAGTCAGAGATGACAGCAGGACCATGAAGAGAGAACATCCGGCCAGGAGGCAGCCAGAGTGGAGAGGACGAATCTCTGATGAGAGGTCAGCACTGCATACGCACACTAGGGGCATCAGAGCTGCTGCGACAATCAGGACAACAGACCACGGTGGCAAGAAAGAGTGCGCGATGGAAGGTCACGGTGGGGCCGTACAGAGTACCTACGATCTCCAATCACGACAAAGAAAAGGAAGGCAGCAAAGGTGCCGGGCAATTCAGGTGCCCCTGCCTAGGCAGAGAGCACCTAGAAGAGAAAGAGGTGATCCATCTTTGTCATTCTTTTAACTTTCGGTATTTCATGATTATATACCTGGTGCTGGGCCCTGAGTTAATTATTAACAACAGTACTTAATATTAAAAAATTCACAATAATTACTTAATAACATTAACGAATCCGCATTTCTACAACCCCATGCCAACCCCAGAAATAATACCAACAATGGGAGTAACTTCTAAGTGCTTTTTCTATGGCAATCCACTTAATTTTCTCAACACCCCTAGGATGTGTGCTACCATTGCTACCCACATTTTTAAAGAGGAGGAAACTGAGACACAGAGAGAATCTGCTCCAGGAGGCAGGGGCTGGAACCCAGACAGTCTGGCTCCAGGGTCCACGCTCTTAACCACATCTGCCTGTCACCATGAGATAGCATGAGGCCAGACAGGCAGATTGAGACACGCTAAATGCACATACTCTTTCGCAAAATGTGTAAATAGCACAAATTAGTATTAGCGTAAACACAGACCGTGTGCGTGGGCGCTCTGAGCAGCTAAAGCGGTGGGTGGAAAGTCTTAGGGCGGTTTTATAGAATGGCCAAACCAGGAGCCCCGCTCGTGTGGTGTGCCAGCCGCCCGCACGCCCGGGTTTGGATGTGTTGGCACATTCCAGCACTGTCGCCTGTCAGGCCTCCACCATCCCCAGGACTCTGTCTTGCATCCTCTGCTGTCACCCCCGCTCCCCTCACTTTCCTGGTGAGCCCCCTTCCCATCAGAACTGCACGGCATGTGGGAAGGGTAAGGACTCTGGGGGCAGACATTTGGTGGCCATTCCTGGCCATTTTTTCACTAACTTGGGACCTTAAGAGAGTTACTTTGCCACCATATCTTTATGTATAAACTGGTGGGAGTTTAAACGCCTGCCCTGAGGGGAGGTGGTGAGCACGGAGTTCCTGATTTAACATGAGCGGCACTGTGCCTGCCACATAGCGAGGGCACGGTCGTCATTATCTTCAGTTTTGTTTAAATCCACTTCCTGTCTCTTCTATGATCTTCCTTAGTTCCCACTCAGAGGATCTTCACAAGTGTCCTACTTCAGAGGAATTCAAACTTCTTCTGTAATCACGTCATTCCCTGCCCTTAACTTACAGATGAATTTCTGTATAACAGCATTATGCCAAACACGGTCTCAAATAGGGGTTGGTTTTTAATGTGTATCCCTTATACCCGAGGTCCAGGTAGTAAGACAGGCAGTTTATTCACTCCCTAGGCACAGAAAGCCTGCATTCCAGCCAAGGTCGTCTGGATATTTTTCCATGAATATAAAGGAAGTGGTACCTGGCTTAAATCTTCTCTTAACATTCATCAGCTACCATCTTCTTAAAAACTTCCATCTACTGTATCTTGCACACAGTTGGCACTCAATACCTCTGTATTTGATGAATAAAAGTCTTCTCGAGTGGCATTAAGAAAAGTGACAGGTTCACTGAGGGGATGCCTGGGTGGCTCACTTGGTTAAGCATCCAACTCTTGATTTCGGCTCAGGTCATGATCTCATGGTTTGTGAACTTGAGCCCCGTGTGGGGCTCTGTGCTGACAGTGGGGGGCCTGTTTGGGATTCTCTCTTTCTCCCTCTCTTTCTCTGCCCCTCCCCTGCTCATGCACGCTCTCACTCTCTCTCTCTCTCTCTCAAAATAAATAAGCTTAAAAAACAAAAGAAAAGAAAAGTGACAGTTTCGCTGAGTACCACCTGAGTGGCTCTCTGCACCCACAGCCTCCCTGTACCCTCACCATGTAAGTTTCTCATGGGCAGCTCCCGCAGTCCGGTTTTATTTGTGCCATAGTTGGATAAGACGGATAAGGCATGGGTGTTTTCATAGAGCACATTTCCTCGGATGATCTGCAGGTTTTCCAAAGGAATCTTCTCCACTGTGTTGAGGGCAATGAGTACATAGCCGGCAACCTCTTGGATGGTCTAAGGAGAGAAAACATGAACACGTTATTTCTCTTGTGCAGAAGTCAAGAATGCAAGATCTAAAATGGGTCAAGAAAGCCCAGGGCACCTACGTGAGCTATGCACGTGAGTGCTGACAAACATAAAGCATGTAGATAACTACAGTGGAGACATGGGAGGTGACAGAATTTACGATGATTCCTGTACTTTCACCTCTTGAGCCAAAGGGCAATGTACATTATTCAGGAATGCTGTGACTCATTTTACTTGGTGTTCAATATACTCAGAAGAGAATGAAAATGTTTTATTAATTCATTTTGTGTCTTTCTTGCATGCTTTCTTATTAGAAAAAAAGAAAAAGAAAGAAAGGAAGGAAGGAAGGAAGGAAGAAAGGGAGGGAGGAAGAAAGAAAGAAAGAGAGAGAGAGGGAGGGAGGGAGGAAGGAAGAAAGAAAGAAAGGAAGGAAGGAAGGAAGGAAGGAAGGAAGGAAGGAAGGAAGGAAGAAAGAAAAGAAAGAGAAGCCCAGAAGGAGGCCAATCAAATCCAAAGTTCAACTATCACCAACATCTGAAGCCTTCCCAGCTGGCTCCTATTGGCTCACAAGAGGCTACTGTGAAATAGCTGGGAGATTTGTGAATTGGTGTCACTGAAACCAACCAGAGTGGAAGTATTTACACAAAGGAAATAGGCAAATGGTACAAAACAGGACTTTTTTTTTTTTTTTTTTTTTAAGAGCCAATATATCAGGATTCCCCAGCTAAAGCACTGGTTAAACATTTAATATCAGTGTCTATGATGATAGAGGAGCATCAGGCTAGCTTCCTTCTCTTTGACATTATTTCGTAGCTCTAACTTCACACCAGCTGGTGAAGTAGCTTTCTGATAAAACCTGTGATTGGCCCGTAATTGCCATGGCAAAAGCATATAGACTTCCAGTTAAATTCTGTCAAGGTCTTTGTCTACTTCTATTTCCTTCCATCATATGTGGGTTAGACAGTCAAATTCATTGAACTAACTTTTAAGAAGGAAAGGTCATAATTCCTTTGCATGTAGGTGATTTCCAAATTCCCAAGGACCACCTCACAGTTATTAAACATCCTCTGCAGGCTGAGAAAGTGGTCCTCAAAAGTGCCCAACTGGGTGAGCCGGTTACTTGTGCCTTGGCAAACTGCAAAAGAACAAAAGGGAAAAAGATATCACATGAAATGCCAAGTAGAGTAGCAGAAATAACATAAAATGTTCACAAATTTCAACAAACTTTGAGAGTCTCAGTGACTTACAATATTAATTCTGGTAAAGGGTCACTCAAGACAAATATGGCCAAAAATGTTTATCTAAGGTATACAGTTCATAACAAGAAATAGCTCATCCCTATAATGCATGGAATCTTTATAAAATGTTAAAAAAGGGGAAAAGGGAAAATTCTATGAAAATCTTTAAGACACAATAGTCTTTTAGAGCTTTGGTAGACAAAAACATATGTATCATTAGATAATAAGATAATTACAATGTTGAATTAATAACTATATAATGAATGTTTTACATTACGAACAAGACAGACTATTACATTACTGTGAGCCCAAAGGATATTTACAAACATAACATACGCTAGCCGATATTTTCTGACCGCGGTGTTGTACAACTTAAAATCAGTGACAAGAGTGTAAATTAAAATCCAACTGGCCAGAGATTAAAAATATTCTTCTAAACTAATGCATCAAAGAATAAATCAAAGGTCTACTTATACATCTAGAAAATAATGAAATGGCAAGAACACACTCAGGTACTGAGAAACCAATACATCCTTCTATTTGTCCACACTCTATGTGAATCCACAGTGGAGACACAATTGTACACAGTCTTGGCATGCTCACCTCCCTCATGTTTTAACTTAATACAAGAAGTAAAATGGGAGACAAAGTTAGACTATGGAAATACACTTGACAGTCTATATTTAAAAGCAAAGGAGATTATAATAGTCATAGCTCTTTGAAAGGCATGTTTGAGCAAGCATAACAAAACAAAGAGGTTTGGGGCTTTTGAAGCAGGGAGCTTGTTAAGCGACTATACTTTGAACCAAAATTATCATAAGAGTGAAGAAATATGGCCTCTGGCTTTGGAGGTTAGATTCAGAACTAGCCAGGTTCTTCTACATGTGTGAAGGCATGGCTGCAATCCGTAACCAGGTGGCTGAACGCAAAACCAAGGCCAAAGTCAATATGCAGGTACTTTCCTCGGAAACTCTTTCTAAATTTACATTTCCATTTTATAGACGTCTTTGTTCCCTCCCCATGGGAACTGCTCCGAAGGGCACCATCTGACCGTCTGCCCTCACATTTTGGTGCCACGGCCGTGAGCACATGTTGAGACACCACATTCTCAACCCAAAGCATTTACACCAACATTAAAAATGAAGCAATCGCCACATCCTCTGCAACTCCGTGGGGACTTCCCTCCTCTGTCTGCTCTTCTGTGGTCTCATTCAAATCTGGCGGTAGAGAGAACGCTCGCATGGGAACTTCGACAGTCGACAAGACTAAACCCCTATCTACTGGCTCCAGGGGCAGAATGATTCCATATTTCTTCCAACTATAACACTGGATGGACCCAACATCTCGGGGCTGCTTTCACTCAGGAGTATGGGCCGCTCTGATTGCAACCTCACTTTGGGACAGCTGTACACAGTTGGGGCCAGACTAATCACATAGATGGGGCCAGACTGCTTTCCCAATTCCAAGGTCCTTAAAGATGCCACCACCAATGTAGGTATGGGGTTGTGACAATAACCCATGACCTTTCAGTTGACACACGGGTAAACAAAAGCTGCTTTCCGGGCTGGGAGACTACGGTCCCTAAATTTCATCCTAACTGATTGGCTATCCTTGAAGTAGCTCAGAATTGGTCACGCCTTCATCCCAGCCAGGTGAACAGCATCCTAGAACTCAGGGTTGGAGTGCGTTTCAGAAGAGTTTCTTCAGTTCACAGAGAAATGAAAAACAGTAACGATTGCTCTCATTTTAAATGATAAAGGATTTCAGCTTGTAAATTTCTCTCAGGGGGCGCCCCTGACTTTTCATTACTAAATCAATGACAAAGTAACTTTTGTCAGTAAAAAAAGAAAACATGCCCTTTAAGTTTAGCCTGTTACATCATAGCAAAAATAATTTCAAAAATGCTGTATTTGTGCTTTCATTCAGTCATTCAAAAAAGTGCCAAATGAGCTCCTAAAATATTTGTTTGATGAATCTCTACCATCATCCGTCATTGTTTACAATTAGCATGAACTACTTCTATATTCAGAAAACCAGATGCTGCTATATTTGGAAGCAATAGCAGCATTGCACAATATTGATATGAACCTTTATTCATAAAACATTTTGGGAAGCAACTAGACAACTTGTGTAAAGAAATAAATATGCTTCAAAAAAGCTTCATGCAAAATGTTTTTTTTAAATGATGGCAAAAAAAAAAAAAACCCCGCAAAAAGCCCTAAATGTTCAATTGCCTGTCACGTGTATTCTTGAGAACAAGAAGGCAGCTGATACGCTGCGTGATTCAGCGTAAGACAAGTCCGCCTTGAATTCTATTCCAGGATTAATTACTAAAGGATCAAGAGAAATCATTACAAAGGTGTTTCTTCAGGGGCTTTCTCCTGCCATGAGCCCCAAAGGGGATGACAGTGTCCAAGTGAAATCCAGAGTGACAACCAGAATGATTTGACCTAGGTTTCCTGATTCAACAAAGCCTAATCTTTGCTCTCTCTTTATACCAAATGTCTCATATTATGACTATAAAGCAATGGAAAGATTTAAATGCGAGACCACTGAATTAGTAAAATTATTATGTTTTAAATCACAAAGCAGGCAGATTTAAGACAAAACTGCCAAGAGCAAGAGCTTTTAAATTCATCCAGGAGAAAGTTTTTGTTTAGCCACTTCCTCATGATGTGACCCTGGATGACTTCTCTAAGCTCTCTGCGGCAGGCTTTCCTCAAGTAGCAAACATGGTGAAACTAATACTGACCTTCAGAACTGTTTCAAAGGCTGAATGAACACAAAAGCTTTCAGCTTTCTTTTGTTAAAGTTAACTACTGAGAACTGTGACTGTGATACAAGATGCAACTGCACAGATGTTAGTGGACCTCTGTGGACATAAACTTGCCCGAAGGTATTGCCTGAACTGGGAATATTTGTATCTGCAGATAACCTGACTCAACTATTGGGCATTAGATTACTCTGTCTGTAGAATATGTATCAGAAAAGGAAGGGAAAGAAAAGGAACACGTTTAATGATTTCATTAAAATACACATTGAGGGGCGCCTGGGTGGCTCTGTCAGTTAAGCATCCGACTTCGGCTCAGGTCATGATCTCGTGGTTTGTGCGTTCAAGCCCCACATCAGGTTCTGTGCTGACAGCTCAGAGCCTGGAACCTGCTTCGGATTCTGTGTCTCCCTCACTCTCTGCCCCTCCCCTGCTCGCACTCTGTCTCTCTGTGTCTGTTTGGTATCACTTTAGGGCTATACATTTGAAGCCAAGACAATTAAAAGTGTATCCAGCTCCATACAAAATGCTATTGATTTGCTCTAACTCTTACAAATCTGAAGACAAGTTCTACTGAATCAAGAGCAGCAGTCCCCGGGACACAGGCCCTACAAAGCACTTGGCTTTTCATCCTCCAGTGTTATTATGAAGATTCATAAACGGGCAGACAAGCTGAAAGAAAGATACAGTGTGAATATCCTTAGATTAGCCTTGTGTTCATTTTGTCACATATCTATCCATCTTACTTTTTTTTTTTTTTTGATGCGTTTTAAAGTAAGGTATAAATGTCAGTACATTTCACCCTGGCATACCACTGATCGCAGCTCAAGATTAATTTACAGCTATTGTTGTTGTTGTTGTTGTTGACATCATCCACAACTGTGCAACATCACAGTACAAACTGTGAGGTAATCAACCGTAAGTATAGCATTTGAGAGTTTCAACAAATGCACACACCCACCTAACCTGCACTCCTACCACCACATAGAACATCATCCATACGGGGCCCCCTCATGCCTCTTCCCAGGCAATCCTGGCCCCTGTATACCATAAAACACACGGTGATTTGTTTTCACTAAGAACAGTCCTGCCTACTGTAAAATTTCATATTAATGGAATTACGTAGTCTTGCCCTTTTGTGTAAGACTTATTTCATAGTCTACTGTTTAAAAAAATTTTTTTTAATGTTTATTTTTGAGACAGAGAGAGAGAGAGAGCACGAGCGAGCGGGGGAGGGGCAGAGAGAGAGGGAGACACGGAATCCGAAGCAGGCTCCAGGCTTTGAGCTGTCGGCACAGAGCCCAACACGGGGCTCGAACTCATGAAATGTGAGATCATGACCTGAGCCGAATGGACACTTAACCGACAGAGCCAGCCAGGCGCCCCGAGACAAGTGTTTTATGGGAAGTTATCTGTGTATTATCCTTGGGCATCTAAGGCTGATCCACAGTCTGGTCGTTCTTTTTCTTAAGAACCCCCCAGTTTATCTTAACTGAAAATAAAAACAATACGCCTGCTTGAAGTCTTGGATCCCCCTGACTTTATGGGTTAGGGCCTGTGGCTTTCCCGTGTCACTATGGGGGTGGACATCTCTCTTTCCCCACAAGCCTGGGCAAATATGTCCTGCTGATTAAGACACAACATTAAAACAAGTTTCTCCAGATTTTCCCAAACCCAATTAGACACTTCTGAAATTGCCTAAGAAAATTTATAATTATCTTAATTCGTTGTTTTCTCAACTACATATTAATGTTTGCCAAAGCAGTTGGGCTCTTGTAAATCTCTCCCCTTGGCCTCCTAAATTATCTCTGCTTTCATCCGTGCCCCATTTTCCACAGAACACCTTGTTTTGAAGCAGAAATCACATCACACTATCCCTTGGCTCGAACCAAAAGCTTCCCAGTGTAATTGGAACACAGTACAAGCTCCTTTCTCATCAGCCCGCCTTCTCTCAGCCTCTCACTGCTCACTCCCCTAGTTCTCTCCAGCCGGCCCAGTTCTGGCCCACTTCAGGGCTGTCCCATCTGCTCGGAATGTTCTTCCATTGCCCTCCAGATGTGTGCATCTTGGCCTCCCTTTTATCACTGGGATTCCAACTCAATGGCCATCCTTTCAGAAAAGCCTATC